CCACGACAAAACTCTGAATGCCTTGTTGACGTACGATTAAAGGGCTGTTCGATTTTATGTAGAATGGCGTATAACAAAATAAGAGATATAACTGAGAGTGCCGATCTAGTTACCGAAGAATGCGAAAGTGCAACTATTTCGTTTGTATTTGTGATTGGCCATTCTTAAGGGTTCGCTCCTTTTTGTGCTTCTTTCTCAATAGATGGGTAAAATTAAAATGCAATATGGGTAGCACAAATGATACAGAAAAACACATAATGTATAATCATATATCATATAATGTTGTACATTTAATTTGCCGTATTATATGTTATTTTTTTTGTTTTTTACGAAAAAAACTCGAGACTCATCTAAAATAATCCTTTCATCATCTCCGGGAGAGAAAGAAGAAGAATATACGATTTATGGGACCAAGGTGTATTTTGGCTGACGTTTCAAAAACGTGCTCGCTTCCATCGTCCGATCGTGGTGTCTGTTATCCTGTTCGTTTAAGATGAATTCGTCCGAACATTAGACTTGCTTAATGCCCATGTGGTAATCTATTGCACCGATCGATTTTTGTGGCTGTTCTAATTGCTTGTGGCCTCACGGGCGTCTTCATGAGCTGTGTCAAGTTGTTTATTTTGTCTCATGAGCGTTTCCACCCTCAATGCTCATGGCTGCCGGCTGTCCGCCCTGCTTATCCGCCCGACCTATTTCTCCGTTCTGAGTCGATGTTAGCCTTCTGCGGATTGCTTGGTAGGCGGGATCAAGGTTCATGGATCTGCGTAGTGTGCCAGTGGTGGTATCGCAGGAAGTTAAGTGAGTTAAACCCAACAACTGCGATCATCAGATAATGGCTATATAATGGAGGAGAAAAAGTCTGCAAGGTCTAAACTAGGAGGAAAAGTTTATTGTGTACACAGGACGGGGAATCGATGAAAAAAGTCTGACATGGGAGAACACGACCATTCAAAAGATTGACCGGGTCCCATTGCCAGTTTTAGAGCAGTCAGGCAAGTCTACCGAGAGACAGAGCGTTCATTGGCTAGGTCGGCCTGTGATTGGTTGGACGCCATGCGGCTTGACAGCGTGTGGGTGGTCAATTTCTCGCGGCAGTCAGTCTGGCGACCGCAACGACCTTGAAGCCCAGACACATTTAAATCATGACAGGAAGGCCAGGCATCTAACAGGCAACGAACACTACAGAGGACCAAATTTCTAGCAGCATGTAAACTCTGCTGTGCCTGACGACATGCGTGTGGAGATTGGCAGCTGTGTTCATTGTCTACTGGTGCTACCATGTCCTAACCCTTGGCGCAGAAAAAGGATAACAGGCTCACAAGTCCAATGACAGTATCATGATTGTGGCTGCCGACAAAGGAGGCACAACATTCATCATGGAAAGGAATAATCTTGACAGCAAGAAGAGCCAGATCGTCGAGGATAGAGAAGTCTACACAGCACTCGCGGACGATCCAACCAAAACAGTATACAAAGCAGGTGCACCATTACAGGTTACAGTAGGCTCCATTCGATCGCCCACTCAAAACCTTGCCAAATTGTTATAGAGGCGCCTGAGGAACCCAACCGAGGGATCAAAATAAAGCGTTGAAAACTCTTTGGAATTCTTCTAGAAGATCAAAGATCTAAAATTAAGTCGTGATGTGCGTATATTATCGTTTGATATTTTGGCCTTGTTTTCCTCAATAAAACATTCCCTAGCACTTCATAGCGTCACTCGAC